TCGCTCTCACGGAACGGAACCGAACGGCTGCACGAGAGAACGAGAAAGCGTATGCACGAGGCCGACCCTCACGAAATTGTAGTGCACGCCTCGCATTTTTGTATTGTCGTGGTGAGAGGCTTTGCCGTGCGGCTTCTGCCCGCAATATAACCATAAAACGCAGATAATTGCTGTTGGAAGGTACAGGACGCTCGTTTCAAAGTACTTAAGGTGCGTACTTACTGCACGCGCGTGAGGTAAAATGCAAATAAGAGAACAGAAGAGAGAAGAGAGAGGGGGAGAGAGAGAGAGAGAGAAAGAGAGGGCGACGAAAAAGAAGAATTGGTACGGATTCTGCGAAACACCTGGTGGTGCATCAGGCGAAGAATAATGGGATTTGGGGCAAAATAATCTGAATGTATAATTAGCATGCTAATCCGAATAGCGCATAAAGATTGATCAAATATATTCACGAGGCTCACTGCGGTTCTGCGATTTTCTTTAGAAAAAGGTGTTCAATGTTTACAAAACGGATCTTTCAACATGCGTATGCTATTTCTGGAGTATAAGCATCTGAATTAGGAAATACTAAAAAAACTACATTAAATTGCATATACGCTGTACAAACGCTATACACAAAATTGAATTCTTAGAAAGACAAATTGTCACTGTTTTAATTTTTAATGCATAATGAGAAAATTCGATGGGATAAAGATATAAAAATATATTGAATCTCGATGAAAGATGTAAATAAAAAATATTCTCGCGAAGGAATATGCAAATATATCGATATATTTTACGGTTCTGTTAAACCAAAACTGTTTAATATTGTCACTTTCAATATTATTGCTAAAACTAATTTCAATTTTGTTATCGTAATATTAGCATGTTATCAGTAATTATAAAATATATTGCATAATTTTTAACGTATATACATAATATAATATACTATACATTATATTAACAATAAATTTTTAAAATCTACATACTTTATTATTTTCTAAAATATCTTACTTTCCGTTGTTGATTATTTCCTTTGGGCATTTGCAAGTTGAAATACAAGTCTAATAAAAAACACCTCATATAGCACAGAATTTGCAGCAATATCGTTGCAAAATCTTTGCAATATTGCTGCAACATGTAATGTTGCTGAAATGTTGCAGCAGTGTGGCTGCAACTTTTGTGCAACTTTGTGCTGTAGGGGACGTATGAAACGTTTCTAAAGAAACATTATGAGTTGCATGCACAATTGAAGTACAATAACGCATGCAAACATTAAAGATAATATTGTACATGACAATCAATTAATTATTAGTTATTAGTTTTGAGTTCGTACCAAGAATTTCAAGCCGGCAACAGAGTTCATTAATTGGCGACGTTGAATCCGCACCGCCGACAGTTTCGGCGTTGCATTCTGCAACAATGGAAAGGGCATCTCTTTCATTAAAAAACCTATCTTCTCATATTTTAGCGTTTATATCAAATAAGGAAATTGATTAGATTTTCGAATAACTCGTGTTATACCGAATTTCGGTGCCGCGAAATACAGTGAGAATTAACTCTTCCTCGTCGCGTGTGTTGATTCAGGATGCGTTTCGTGCGAACGGATGAGACTTTGTCGTTTGAGTCCGGTGAAAAATCGAGGTGGATGCGAGGAAGGGAGGAAAGGGGATTATCTCACAAATATTTGAGAGCAATTAGATGTTTGCTCGTCCGTTACCTTGTTTACATGGTTTGCCGTATCTAGACCGCTGGAGACGTGTTTATGACCGCGCACGATATGCATGAAAATAGTTCTCGTTAAATACATAACTTCATCACGTGGCTTTTTAAAGCGTCCGATTTCTTAATCGAGCTCTTGAAACATCTGGAGATCAACTGTTTGTGGGCAGAAAGAGCTTAGACACGCGAGCAGTTTATTCGAAATTCGCAATCATTTCGCAATAATTGCGAATCGTTTTTTGTATAAAATTTCATTGATATTCTAATAAAAGATTTATTGATACGAATCTGCAGTATATTTTCTAAAATTAAATAAATATATTCTCAAAAAATATAAATGTTTTTATATATATTTAATATAATATATTATAATAATATTAATGTAATATATGTTTAATATATTTAATATACACAAATATATATATATGTATTATATTAAAAGAACAGATAAAAGATATTTTCTAGACATCTTTTAATTTCCATGTTTCAACGGTAGCTCTTCAATTTTTTCAATTCAGAACTTGATTAAATTTAAACATTTGTTTTATATTGAAGAAAAATGCGATTATTATAGAAAAATAATGCTAAAATGTCATTTTTTAAAAACCGCATCTTGATTTAATTATATTTGAAAATTCTTAATGTCCATTAATTTTTAGAATTTTTGTGTTGTATTAACAAATATTTGTTGCGCATTTATAGTAACTTTATTGAATTTATTCAGTTCAAAGTCCTAGAATTGCATATTTTTGCGTTAGATAATAAATAATAATAAAGAAAAAAGAAGGACATGTTATATACTGATATCTAATAATATTTAATTATGTTTCGCAATATTGAAGCAAATTAATTACATTTTTGATGATTTATTCGATGTTGGGACATTCTGTTACTCTAAAAGTATCAATAATATAATATTATAATTGAATAAAATGCATATTTGTGTGTTTTAATGATCTTTTTATCGCTTCATATGATGAGCGAAATATACGCACACTGATGAAGTTTGATCAAATATTTTAGGCACATTCTTACATTCAATTATAGATTAGTTGTTTTCATATCTCTCAATTAAAATTTAAATTGTTTAATTGTAATTCACAACAATTTTCAATCATGTTACATTTAGTCAACTGTAAGGTGAGATAATAAAGTGAGACCACGAAAAGGAATGGTGAATCGAAATATAATGATTCCGACGGCACGCGCTGCATTCATTAGATTCGTTATTGAATTCAGTTTTAACAAGATAAATTCTAATTTATGTTAACTGCAGTAAAAAGAGAAAGAAAGAAATAGCTTTCAGTATACACACACATACACACGCATATACAGTGTATAAATCTACAATATGTAAACTGTATAATTTTGATATTGGTAACAAACGTTTAATAATCTAAAAAATTTTCTACAATAAATGAATTTCTTTCTTCTACAATAAGATGAGAATTTTCTACCAAATATTCAATTTTATATAGTATGTCGAATTTTTGACAAAAAGATAATTGCAAAGAAATGAAATGTATGATTTTTTAAAATCTCTTATTCTGTATTTTTCGCTGCTTTGATAATTTGTCACTCGTTTAAAATTTACTATCAATTGTGAGAAAATGTATTTCAGTGTTTGAAATTGTCAGCATTTATTATTCAAGCAATTGCAAATCTTTCAAAAACTAAGAATAAATTTTATACATTTTTGTGTATCAGACTTTTTAATTTCTCAAAGACCAGGGTTGGTAAAAATCATGTTTTAAACTGCTTAAAAAACAAGCTTAAGCAATATTTTTACACACACATATTTTAAAATGTTTTTTTATAATACTGTTTATAGGGTTACCAATTCTCGGTCGCACGAAAAGAGTATATTGATTGGCAAAAAGAATATACTTTCTAAAAAAAAGGGAAAAAAAAGGTGGAGAACTGAGGGTTTTCTTTTTTAAATGTCAGTATTCAATAAAATGACATTTTTAGAATGTAATTTTTATTGGCAACATCTATTCAGTCTTCATAAAGTTAATAGAATTGAGAAAATAAAATTGATTCACGTATTCAACGTATTTTGCAACTTTTAAGTTTCTTCAACAAATGCAATATATATATATATAACCAAATCTCTAATAAAAACCTCTATATATCATGTAATTAATATAAACCTCTATATAATATGTAATATATAAATAAACATTTATATATTACATCCTGTCCAAAATGAATATAGCCTTAGTACAAGTCAAGCAAAACTTTTTTGTAAAGTAACAAATTTGCAGGATTGGCAACGTTACCTCATAAAAATAACTCGTTACCGTTACCGTTCTTTTTCCTAAAAAATAACTCCTTATCGTTACTCGTTATTGATTTGCAAAAGTAACTCGTTACCGTTACCGTTCTTTAAAATGTAATGAGTCGTTACTTTTTCGTTACTTTCTTTTCTTGACACTAATAGAATATTATAGCGTTTTTCATTGGCAGAACTTGTGCGCACTCAACTCAATGCACTTTAAAGCCGCTGTACAATCGACGTAAAGATGTATGATGGTTAATAAAAATATAGAAACGTGTTAAACCGCGAAATCCTCAATATATTTTATTATGCTATTTGATAAAATATACTTTAGACACTTCATCAATTGAGATATCTCATTTTTACATTTAGAGTTGTGTACAACGACTTTAATGTGCACTGAATGCGCACATGTTCTGCCATTATATGTAATTAAATTTCTGCAGTAAATACAAAAAAGATGTCAGAATTCTATTTTTTAGTAGAGGAATAAAACTCAAAAACTGATAAATGTATATACGTTTTAGTTAGATTAAAACTTTTATGTAAATAGAAATAGAGTAACGATAAAAGTAACTAGTAAAATCGTTACCATTACTTCAAAAATGTAATTGCGTTATTATGAACGTTGTTCAGAAGAAAATGTAACGTCGTTACCCAATCATTACCGAAAAAAGTAACTTGTAATGGTAACGACGTTACAAGTATATATATATAACGCGTTACTTGCCAACCCTGCAAATTTGAATATTGAATAATAATTTTTAAATTTCGTCTCATTTCTCAAAAAAAAAAGTACAATAAGTGAAACGTAAGAGTATGCTGTTTTCCGACCTCGAAAAGAATACGGTTGGTAACTCTAACTGTTTAAAACATATATAAAACGTTAAAAATATGTTTTAAAAGAACACAACGTTTGATTCTTTAAAAAAAACATCTTTGCCAACCCTGTTAAAAACGAGAGATTCAATGGTACTAGAGAAACATGACATTATTATAGAAATTTTTTTATATTAACCTGGTTTAGGTTGATTTTGATACGACGGCCTTTTCATCCACTCGTACGGGCTTCTTCTCCCCTGGATTCTATGGGATGTGTATAGTTGGTGACGCCTTGATGTTGACGGCATATCCCTCGACGTGGACGGTACATCTCTGGATGTGGACGGTATGTCTCGTGATATGGACGGCATGTCTCGAGATGTGGATGACATATCTCGAGATGTGGACGGCAGGTTTATGCCTGTAGGTAGCAGATTTATGTTGCCGGATGTGGATGATAGATTCATGTTGCGAGAAGTACAAGACAAGTCATTGTATGATACAGTATGAAAATTAGGCGGTGTTGTAGGAGAAGTGCTATTGTTGCTGTTATTGCTGCCGTTCATGCTACCGCTCAGACTGCCATTTAAACTACCATTCATATTTCCGTCTATGTTGCCATTCATTCTTGTCGTTGTTGATGGATATTGATTGCGGAATGCCATATCGATATTTCTAATGCCCCATTTCAACACCCGTCTGTACGAAATTTCGTACTCCTGTTCCCTCGATGGTATTTGTTGCTGAAGATATTGTGGCGGTGAATTTTGTTGGAAGAATTGCGGCGGTGAACTTTCTTGCAACTGGTGTTTCGGTAACCGTTGCTGAATGCGCTGCTGTGGCAATGGATTTGGTTGATTATGTTGTTGAGACGGAGAATTCTGTTGCAATTGTGGCGATGAAGTGGTGAGTTGCTGACAAAGTTGTTGAGGCGGTGAATTTTGTAAATGTTGATGCGGTGATGGATGCTGTGGACAGACTTGTTGGGGCGGCGAATTATGGAGATGCTGCTGTGGAGACGGTTGTTGATAGAGTTGTTCAGGAGGTGAGTTCTGTTGCAGATGCGGCTGTGACAAATGTGGCTGAATGCGTTGTTCAGACGGCGAGTGATGTTCTAGTTCTTGCGTTTGATGTTGTTGCGACTGCGATTGTGTTTGAAAATGTAAATGTGGCGATTGATATTGTATATACGGCGAGTACTGAGTCGTGTAGTGCCATCCAGACATCATATCATGGTTAAAAAACTGAGGAATTGAGCTTGGCTGATGCTGAGGATGTAACGCGGGTGTCGCGGGTATAGCTCTTGATGGATAGCCATACCAGTATTGAGTTCCTTCAATGGCAGCGGGAGCCGCAACCGCAGTATGTGGTTGGACCTGTTGCGTCGGCGTTTGCTGATGTGCTTGCTGCATTATCAGTTGTTGCTGTTGGTTGTCAGCGACCTGGTGCTGTTGTTGGCGATATGGAATCGTCTGGTTGTAATGAATCGCACTGATGATGTTCGATATGTTATTCGGTTCTCCAGAGACGACGTCTTCACGGCATGATGGCATGTCGATTCTGCGAATTGGATTTAGCTCACACAATAAACAAACGTTTGTTTCTTTAAACACAAATAATTGGAATCACGAAAATTGTAGATTAATGTGAATTGTTATGTATATTCACGACACTTAGTGACACAAACAATGAAACCGGCACAGTTGAAACGTACGAATGTTATTGCTAGTTCCCGACGAACGCGTTTTGTCCAATATCGATATAGAACTGGCAACGTAACTCCGACGTTTACTAGTTGAGGTAAATCGAACAGAAACTCGGTTTTGGTGGGGAACTGCTAGTATCTCTAGCTCCGCCTCTTACCGAGCAGCATCGAACAGCCAATCTACATCCGGCATCCAACGTAATGGTGTCCAACGAGAACGTCGCCGAACAGTAGGAATGTCGTCCGCCTACAAAAAGAGAACCGACAGAAAGAGAGAGAGAAGTCAACTCTTGTAGCTCCACCTTCTCGATAAGGCATACTGTTGTGTTGGTTTTTATATTATACATTTGGAAAAAAATTGACCGGTTCTCCACGTATCAACTGCATTTTGAAGATAGACTTCATTTTTTTAATCTTCTAATGATGAATAAAAATTGATTCCTACTTGTTACATTCAATTTCATTTATTGGATTGAATCACAAAACTTGATGCCTAGAGATATTTGGAAATATTCTAGATTTGATTCAATTGCATAATTTTTTTTTTAACTAAGAAAGGCTACAATTAAATTTGCTAATTTAGAATTTTGGTATATTGAAATTTGTGATTTTCTTGACGGTGCTGCAACGATGACGATGATCGATCAGATAATTCAATTTTTCTTTGATATACGCATATTTAATATAATTATTTTCATACGCATTAAACAAAATTCTTTTTACTTTCTTTGTTCTTTTTCTTCTCAGAGGCAGTCTACATTTTACAAAAGATTTAAAAAAATAATGAAGTTTACATTTTAATATTTGTTATTCAATTTTGTTTTTCTACTTAAAAATGAGATGATACAAGATTGTAATGTTTTTAAATATTTGATTGGCATATGAAGAAAATTTTCCTTTTCGCATCCGCATCTTGTAGTTGGCTCACATTAGTCTCTTTATTTTATAATATAATATAGTTTATTTTATAGTAGGTATAGTATAGAGATAGATAACATTACAGTAAAAATATGATCGTTTCAAAAAAAAAAAATACTTTCATGGTAATTTTGATAATAGTTGAAATTTGATATTTTATTATAAAATATATAATATTCCTACACACACACACACACATTAGATTTTTACCATAATTTTTAAAATCTCGTATTACAAATAATCAACTGATAATTTGATATCACAATGGCACATAAATCAGGGCACAGTACACGCGTCTGTATATCTACAATATCCACACAGTATCTACAGTATTAATCGGTGCATTCGCGTAATATACTATTTTATTGCGTGGTCGTAACAAAATCATATACGATTCCAGGATGTATAACACTTATAAACTGTACAAGAAGTTCATAAATCATTTCGCCGCTTAGATGATTTAGAACCGAAAACTCAAGTTTATCGCGGCTGCGATTAAGATCGATAATCATTGTTTATTATGTTTACTTAAGTTGAAGTAGGAACGCTATGTGTTTAATAAGAGAATGCGTAACAAACTACTTATACCGAATGATGTTGATAAGTCAATGACTTTCTTACTTTATTCTTGCGTATAACATTCGATAACCTTGAGTTTCCGATTTTATAAGAAACCTTATGTATTATTTTTATTAATGAACTATATTTATAGTTTTAGGATTACAATTATTTTTCTTACGGAGCCGTAGACATATTCGGAAATCGTGCTGTTATGTGACGCATTCAAGTCGCCCATGCACCATACAATTTAATATGTTTTGAATGTTTTTAATTATCCTTATATATATTTATATCTATCTAAACAAATTTATTGAAAGGTTGGGCAATCAAATTTCATCTTACACATTCATGTACGTTCGCTCTTCTTCCATTTTAATTTTTTCTAAGAAAATGTTTTTATTAATTATAATTATCAATAACGATGCTTTCATATTTTAATGTTAATAAGAATATTATATTTTGTATTATACTCAATTATCTCAAAACAAATCAAAACATTATTGCGAATGCCTACATAATTAAATGTATTAAAAATATGTAAAAATATCTTTGTATGATAACAGGATGTCCGGTAAGTTTTGACAAAGCGCTCATGTGTAGATAGAAACTAAGCATTTTGCAATTTTCGTAATTTCTTTTTTAGTTATCTAATGAGCAGAATGTGTAAAATCAATATAAAACAATTTTAAGATAAAGTCTCTTCAAGAGTTCTTTAAAAAACATCTTTAAGATATTTCATAAAGAACTCTGAAAGAAATCTTAAAGTTGCCTTATGTAGCGATTTTATTCGACAATCTTTAGAAATTAATCTCGTTCACTATTGCGAAAATTGCAAAATTGTAGAGCACTTTTTTCGACTCAGTTTATTCTTCTCTATCTATACACGAGCGCTTTGATAGAACTTATCGGACACTCTGTACATATAATTATATAAAATATGCATAGAATTATATATATTGTATAATAATTGTATAAATATAATCATTATATTTATTTATAATTATACAAAAAAGATATAATATATGTTCCATTTTAATTTCAGTTTTATGATATGTATTTAAAAAGTAATTGAAAAGAGAGAAGAGAAGAGCGCAAGTAAGTTTTTTATTTAAAATCTCTACTTCGACAAACGTTACAAATTTGCTTATGATTTTCAGATTTGTTCTCATTTTTAGATTGCAGTCTCATATGGGTAATAAGAGAGGATCTCTACCCGTCAAAGTTAATGTTAAATCAAAATTAAGTCATCGATGTCAGAATAACAATAAAATTATATTTCAAAAGGGTTAAGAAGATTTGGTCACAATAAATGTAGTCTAGGATTCTAGATTTTATGTAGACGTTTGAAATATTGGAATTTGTTTCATGGAGGGGTTTTACCCTTTACCGCCGATATAATTTACGATAGATGGAGGTGAAAATTACGACCACATTCCTATTGTGTTTTTCATTTTAGTTTTACCTTTTTTGGAAAAATGTTGTCTGGCAGCCGACAAACATAGTAGCCGGACAAATAGAGTAGAATTTCCGCAATCATACCGTGAGATTTTTTGTAAGATCAATGTAAGTTGCATATAACTGACTGCATACGAATTGCTACTTTCGAACACTGCTTTACAATAACTGATTAATAATGGGATATTGAATATATTTCTTGAATAGCTTCAGAGGTTTATTCTCTTGAATCTCGCTTCGTTTCTTTGCAATTTCGTTAAACGCGATTGTGTACAGTTATATTCGTTCCACAGCTATTTACTAGAATGTTACTGCGAACAGTACATAATGTATTATTCCGTTTCGTAAACATGATAATAATATTTGTATTTAAGCGGCTTTACAAGATTGTGTGTATGCATGTGTGTGTGTGTGTACGTGTATGTGTAGCTCTTTTTCTCTATTTTCTCACTATTAATACCTATGCACGTATCAATTAAAATATAGCAGTAAATCGTAAAATGCACGCATATAATTTGGGATAATCATTTTTCTTAATTTTTGAATTTGTAATTTTAATAGGATTTCTCAAAGATTTCCTGAGATATATACCATATATTCGTTTGTACTTGAAATTATATCCAAAAGATTAATAATAAGATGTATTCGCGAATCATATACATAGTATAATAAACGTGTATTTTTATGCATAAACAGTTACATCGAACATGGCTTAAATTTAAAGCGGAGTATATGTATTTGAAATATTTTTATTTAAAATACAGTATTTGTAAGACAATTGTAATCCTGCTTAAATTTTTGTTCCACACAGAGGCTCACTATCCAGCCATTGTGCGGTGTCAAGCGTTTAATTATCATACATTATGTTTATTTTTATTACGACAATTTAGACAGAGCAATATATCTAATTTTTTGTTGGATAATTAATCGCGATAATTAATCGTGTAATAACAAAATACCTAGTCTTTTTGTTGAAAATACAGCGTTAAAGCAATTAAATGGTTTGTTACACTTTTACAAACTGCATCTCTGTATTTCTTGCTGATGTCTTGTAGTTTTTTTGAAAGTGAACGCGAGTCAATACATTATACAAAATAACAAAAAAATATCTGTATATAGTAGGGTGACAACACACTAATAATTCATACTGTCCACTGCTATAGAAATACATAAGCATGTATTTCTAAATAATAATGACAAGACTCATTCTATCTTATATAACATAAAGTTATGATTTATGAGACGAGTTATAAAATCTATTTTTTGTCAAGAAAGCGTTTCTAAGGCTACAAATCGTTACCGTTTTCAAAATAATGGGTCAATTCTAAGCAGAATCATAAGACTTGTAACGTGTTCTCGTAAAACTTGTAAGAACTTATGACTAGTATTCTAATTTTATGCATATGTATCGTAAGACGCGTACGATTATTCATAAATATCTACGATTTCTTGTAAATTTTATGGCTAGTAAAAAGCCGTCTGTAAAAATATTGTATAAAGGCATAAGCACTTAAAAATTCTTACAAGTCTTACAGGAATATGTTACGAGCCTTACGATTCTGCTTAGAATTTATAGGCATAAATTTAAAGTATTTTTGTCTCCAGTGAGACGTGAGTCTAAAAATCGCCTTTGAAAGATATTGAATTAATAATAATAAGGTCAAATAGAGCTTATTTTAAAGGCGATTGCTTGAAAAAATTGAGTATTCGTTGGTAATTAATATATTTATAAAACTATAAGAAAGATTCAAAAGCTTTCGTCATCTGTAAATATCAATCAAGAGCATCACTTTATTAATAATTTTTCATTGATAGACAAAACTTTGAAGATTAGCGTTTTTTTAATTATATGTAAATATCATAAAGAATTTATACTATCAATTATATTTGAATAAATGCCATGCAAAAGTAATATTGAGTTTCATGTCGGACCATCGATGATAGGCTTAAAATTTTTCGACCTTCTACATAAATGTTTTTTTATAATTGTATTTATGACAATATTT